TATTATCTTATTTTAAGAGTTAAAATACTCATTCCATTGGCAAACTGTCTAAGTTACCTACTCAAATTAAGGATAAATACACTTAAGTTAAGAAATGTTTTAATTATTTTTACGGTAGATTGTTTTTCCAGTGCAGTAAAATATGCAAAATACAGTTTTATTCCCTTTTATGAATTGAAACATAAGACGAAAACTATTTTATAAATCAGCTGTAGTGTGTGAAACTATTTGGAAAGCAAGCAGTCGGCTGAATGCTGGCTGCAGGTCGCAGCTGGAGGCTTGGATGACGTCCCGCCCAAAGCACACCACGTTCAAGAGCTAAGTTGGAACGGGTGACTAATATTAGTCAGCATAACAACTTGACATCTGTGTCACTGTTTTTATTTGACATGTTTTAAAAATGTACATTTAAAAGGTTTCACTTTTTTCAGCTGCTCAACACCTTATCAATTTAATCTTTATCTTGATTTTTTGGTGACTACGGTTTAATAAATTTAAATCAAAGTCTCATAAAATTGGGATTTTGTAAATAGGTTAAACATTGGAAGCTAATGGCGTCACACCCCAATCATCTAATTAGCCCGAAAAACACCTGAAGAGGTTTTCTAAGCCTTTAAATTACCTGGAGGCGACAGAACTGTTCCAGACGCTGGATGTTCACAGTGTTTAACCTAAAGAAATGAATGGAAAGTTTAGTGGAGGGAAAACGTATGGTGGGAAAGGTAAACCAGCAGCCTTGCGAGNTTATTTTTACGGTAGATTGTTTTTCCAGTGCAGTAAAATATGCAAAATACAGTTTTATTCCCTTTTATGAATTGAAACATAAGACGAAAACTATTTTATAAATCAGCTGTAGTGTGTGAAACTATTTGGAAAGCAAGCAGTCGGCTGAATGCTGGCTGCAGGTCGCAGCTGGAGGCTTGGATGACGTCCCGCCCAAAGCACACCACGTTCAAGAGCTAAGTTGGAACGGGTGACTAATATTAGTCAGCATAACAACTTGACATCTGTGTCACTGTTTTTATTTGACATGTTTTAAAAATGTACATTTAAAAGGTTTCACTTTTTTCAGCTGCTCAACACCTTATCAATTTAATCTTTATCTTGATTTTTTGGTGACTACGGTTTAATAAATTTAAATCAAAGTCTCATAAAATTGGGATTTTGTAAATAGGTTAAACATTGGAAGCTAATGGCGTCACACCCCAATCATCTAATTAGCCTGAAAAACACCTGAAGAGGTTTCCTAAGCCTCTAAATCACCTGGAGGCGACAGAACTGTTCCAGACGCTGGATGTTCACAGTGTTTAACCTAAAGAAATGAATGGAAAGTTTAGTGGAGGGAAAACGTACGGTGGGAAAGGTAAACCAGCAGCCTTGCGAGGATTGTCCATTCAATTAAAACATTTAACGATTCCTTGGAGTGATCATAGATGACAAGATTTGCTGGAAGCCTCATATAAAACACATCAAAACCAAACTGTCCAGAAGTATTTCAGTACATTCTGGATTCCAAAGTACTTCACATCCTGTACTGCTCACTACTGTTACCTTATTTGAATTACTGTGTCGAGGTTTGGGGAAACACTTAACACTCACTACAGCCACTAGTCATAACGCAAAAAGAGCAATAAGAATCAATCACAACGCCAGACTTCGGGATCATAACTCATTATTTCTAAAATCTAAATTGCTAAAATACCAGGATTTAATAGAATAACAAATTACAGTATTCATGATCAAACTAAGACGTAGCCTATTGCCTGGGAATATCCAAAAGATGTTCTCTGAAGGGGAGGGAGGGGACGATTTAAGGGGAAATTTTAAGACTAATAGAGACTAATTAGCGGAGTTAAATTGTGGAACAAACTGAATGAGAACCTACACTGCAAAAAATTGAAATCTAAATAAGTTTATTTTTCTTTAAAAAAAGAGCATTTCTTTCTTGAATTAAGCAGTTAAGTGCTACACTTTTCCAATGGAATAAGGCAATTTACATCTAAAATAAGAAAAAACAATTGCGTTGTCTTGTTCCAAGTGGATATTATCTAATTATCTCATTTTAAGAGTAAAAATACAAATTCCATTGGCAAATATTATTATTTACGTGCTTGAATTATGCTAAATACACTAATTTTAAGACATTTTTACTTGTTTCCAGATCGTTTTTTGCAGTGTAAAGCAATACCCGAACTTATTCCTTTTCAAAAAAATGTACAAAGAAATTATTTTCAAAAGGTATAGAGAAGCATTATGGAAAGTTTTGTTTGTGTTTTTTTTTTTATTTGTATATATATTTATCTATGTATATGTGTAGGCAGGTATGTATTTATATGGATATATATATAGCAACATAATTATAAATATTGTAAATTGAAGAAATACAAGAATTAAAGGGGTAGGAGCACAGAAGTTTTACTTCTTCCTACTGCTTTTCGCACATATAATGGAGGTATTTTAACTTAGGAAAGAAGGGTACCTTGTTTGTTGTTTTTCTCTCCAATGTTTTAAAACATTGTTTTATTTTGTTTGTTTTTCTCTTGCATATTTAAAATAAAGAATAATAATAAATAAATAAATAAATAAATAAAGGAGCTTCACAAGGTTTTGACTGTGATGATTCAGGTTTCCTCCTGGTTTCTGAAATCCACTGGTTTTAAAGTACTCTGACAAACTGTATGATGATTACAAATCCTGACATCCATGTTTTAAAATGTTTTTTTGAGCTTACATAAAACAGGAAATAAAGGCTCTGAATGTATCAGGATGCGTAATGAATTTATAAATGAGTTTTACCTCAAAGGGAGGATCCCTGCAGCTTGTTTTTAATGCAGGGTGTCTCTGGCTCTGCAGACTACAAAGGGTTTTTAATGCGCAGAGAAAGACAGTAAACCCATAAAACAGTTTGAGTGACTTTAAACCATCTTTCCTCTTCATAACAGCTTTCATTCTCTCCATGCTTCACATTTCTGTGCAGCATTTAGAGAAAAGCTGTGGCAGGAAATGAGGAAATACGCTCGCTGCCTTGTAATTAGACCTCGACAAACAAGACGCACCCTAAAAACACTCGGCTGGCGGGAATACAGCACAGACCCCGTTTAGGAGAAAAAAACAAAAACAAACATCCAATATCTCCACACATTTATTGCGCTGTAATCTCATCATCGTGAGCGGTGACACAAAGCTTCATTTTCTATTTCACAGAGCACAAAGAAACTTGAAGCACGGCCAGAAAACGACAAAAAGAATGTGCAGAAAGGCCAAAGTGGCAGAATATATTTCTCCATCTAAAGCTTTAAAACATTGAACTCATCTAAGACACCAAAGCAGAGATCGTCTGTAAAGCAGAGTCCCAGGAAGGAGAAAGTAGCCCGAAAAAAAGAAGATAAAACTGCAATCAAAGCAAGATGAAGGTTCATGATCCAAGTTTAAACCATACAGATAATATTTTATCATTTTGTCTGAATAAGGTTGGAACATGATAAATATTTACACCCAGATGTCCACCAGTGATCCCATTTCCACCCGGAGATAAAAAGTCTCTGATGTTTGGAGACGCTGCTGCTGTTATTAACGATCCTGCTTTGAATTATTGTCCAATCAGAGCAAAACATCCTTTTAAATCACATTCATCTACTGTTCAGCTTTAGATTTGATTTAATTTTACATGTTTGTTTACATATGACCAAAATAAAATAAAAAAAGGGGGGGGGGGACTGCTGTAAAGATGCAGACCAATGGATTTTTTTTAACTTTACTAGCATTCAGGAAAAAATATCAAAAAAGGAATAAAATAAATGTATGCAGATCAGTGGAAATGTGTTAAATTAATCAGCAGGGATAAAAAGGGTGTGACTGATGTGATGCTGAAGGATTTTCCACTAATTAACGTTTTTATTTTTGATTAAAATCAATTAAAAGATCAAAGTGCTTAGAAACAAATGGATAAATAACTGATTTAAGTTTCCATCTAAACCGTTTTAGAAATTAACTTTATACTGAAGGAAACTCTGTTTTAATTCAAATAAAAAAAAAATTTAGATTCTCAAGGAAAATTAGAAATCAAACTATTTTAACCAACTTGGTAAATTTAGAGAGAAGCATGTAAAGAAACCAGCTTCTCCTCTTGATGGTCACACTGCTGTGGGGCCGTTCTTAGACCAGTACTGGAAGCTGGTCTCATACAGACCGCAGGCGGGGCGTCCCGTCCTCTCCTCTCTAATACTGGAGGTTTTCTCAGATAGAGGACGGACATCTTGGACGATAGAATTGGTTTGTTTTAGAAAAGAGAAACTGTGATTCCTGATTAATTGAAATCATCAATCTATGCACTGGATGTTGTTTCCAAGTTTGAAGACGTTTCTCTTCCATCCAGGAAGATTTTTCAATTCAAAATGTCAGAAAAACTGTTTAGTTCCAGGTTTTATAGAGCGGACCAAAACAAAGCCTGGTTTTAGTTTAGAAAACATGCAAATAGAAACGGATGAACGGGTCCCCCCCTTTGGAATGGGGGTCGTTTGGCTTCTTTGTTAGCCTGCAATGCCCCATACCTGTCTATGTCTCTGAAAGGGGGGGGGAGGTAGTGATGATAGCTTCCTGGATGGGAGCGAAACGTCTTAAAACATGAAGACAGAGTCCAGTTGATTGTTTTTGAACTTTTTTGGAACAAACAGGATCTGTTAAGATTTTCATGTTAAATGAATTTTAAAGGGAAATAAACAGGCTTTCCATCAATATTAGAGCATCAAACAGGCCTTTTTGGTTTAATATTTGATAAGTTGATATATTTAAGGTACTGAGCATTTAAAGTCTAGCATCAGGCCCCGCCCACTGAGGGATTTACCCAGATACTACTCCAGTATGGGTTCGGGTTTTTACCTGATTTGCCTGGCAGGGGAAAAAAAAGATATTTTTCTTTAGTTTTTTAATAAAAATAGATCAGAAACTTTAATTTCAAATGGAGGGAAAAAGCAGAACGATTCTAACTGTTAAAGTCTTCTGGAAATGATTGTTGGTCAATTATTGAGCCCAAAATAAAATCATTAAACTTAAATCTGCAGCTGATGAAAAACTAGCAAATGCTAAACAAATATTCTTAACTGTAATAAACCATGAAATAAAAAAACAGATTTAAACGTTTTGTTTAACATTTATAGATCTGTGGTGATGGAAGAAAGCAGCTGCAGCCTCAGATTGTTCTCAGCATCTTATCAGAAATGTTTGCTTTTCTTTATCAGGAGAATATTTGACAGATTAAGAACGCTTCCTGACTTCTAGGAAGTGATCAGCGGACATCCTCCACCTCGTCTTCATCCTTTTTCTGATCTTCTTCATGATTCCTCTGAAAAGATTCACTTCTTTGCTTTGCGGAACAAAAACCAGCGGAAACTGATCGCCTTCTGAGAGTCTCTGTGGATCCGACTGGTTCCCAAAAAGAAAAAAGAAGAATATGCAGACATGTTCTTCTTTAAAGCAGTTTATTTTTCCTCCAGCTGGTGCGGTGACAGCTGCTAAAGCCCCCCCAGCCCGCCGGTCCGCTGCTCAGGTGCGTGTGGTCTGTCCTCCAGTCCAGACTGCTGGCATTTTTTCTGTCATTTCAGATAACAGACAAAAAAGAAAGAGAGCCCCTGTCTGAGCCCTGACCTCTGACCTCTTGATGCCGCCTCTCATACGCCGCCCCCCCCCACAGACCTCTGGATTCGCTAACAGTGTGAGTTCAGGTCAGGAGGGTTTTGGACAGTCCTGACGTCTGGAGGACTCGTTCCCGCCTGCGACCGCTTTCCCCTCACGTCTCCTCCTCGCTCTCTCTCTCTCTCTCTTTTGCTGGCTCATTCTCTCTGATGCTCGCTCGCTCGTTCAGCCCGGGCCCAGACTCCGATCAGCGTCTCCTGGAGGAAAGAGCAGGACAGTTACTGTAGACGAGCAGAGCTGCAGCTTAAAGCGCAGACAGCAGCTTGTAGAAACTCCTTCAGCTGCGGTTTATAACGTCGTTTCTACAGAGGCTGCAGAAGAATTAAAGAGGAGTTCAGACAGCAACTTCTTTCTTTTCTTTCCTAGATCCACTTTCACATCTCATAAATTTCTACATCTGAAGCGGAGATTTAAAAGCAAAATGGTTTGGGAGGAAAGATAAATAGTTTGAAAACCTAAACTCTGGCATCTAAAGCAGGAAGGAAAGATGTGATGAAGGAGCTGAAAGGAAAACAAAGTAAAAATATGAGGATATAAGAATTAAAAATGTCTGGTTGGCTTCCATGGAGCAGCAAAGATCTGGAAAACCAGATAAAAAGCCAAACAGCTGCAGTTAAACAGACACACAACAGAAGCAGAGCCCAGTTACTCTTAAACAGTCATTAATGTTACAATATCTCGCCGTCTGGGTTCTCCTCGCCGTCTCAGATGCTCGGCTTCTGGTCTCTCTGCCTGCCTTGGGCCTCCTGCTTTTCCTTTATTGCACTTTTCTTATCTAAACGAGGCCCCAGGGGCGTCACATTCTCCTGGTTTGCTTCCTGGCAGCTCTGGACGCCTCACCTTCCTCCAGTTTTGAAGATGAGGTCGGCGTTGGGAGCGCCTTTCGGGTGCTGGTAGCGGGGCCGTCGCTCTCGGTTGGTGTTGGCTGGCGCCGGACGCTGGGCGAAAGATTGCATCATCTCTGTAAGACGCACAGAACGGAGGGATCAATGAAACATTTTGTTGGTTAGTCAAATAACGAACTCATCAAAACAAGGTTCTGGTTTTCCTGGCGGGCCTCCAGGGGTCCTGGTGGCGTACCCTGATAGTCCTCCTGCTCCTGCCTCTCGTTGATGTCCAGGGTGAGCTTCTTCATCCTCATCCGCTCCTCCTGCTCCGCCTGCTGCTGGTTGAAGTGGTTCGCCGCCAGGTGGGACGACAGCGGGACATTCAGGATCTTATACTGTCAACCAGGAGAACAGGCGTCAGAAGCCGCTCATGCCGCCATCCATAACACTTCCTGCTATTCGTTATGCCTCTAATGTAAAAAAGGTCGAACTGGTTCATCTGTCGGCTGACTTTTAGGCCAATGTTTGTTTTTCTTGTATCGTTGTTTTGCCAATGATAACTGTTAGAAATATTTTATTTATACTCCGTTTGTGTTTCATGGGTTGTGTTCTAATGAACTGTTATGATGTATAATGTGTGATNCCCTTCCCCTTTAGTTAAACCTCAGCTGGTGTAATTAGGGACATCCCCCGACTTCAATAAATAGCGAGCAGAAAGCTGAAGACCGGCAGAGTGGCGTGGAGATTGTAAACTCTGCAGTCTCCTTCCTCTTCTCCTCGCGAGTAAAACTAAATTAATTGTCTCTGTGCCTTCTTTCTTTCCCTGTATGGATGTATGATGTTTCAGGTGCTTAGACCTGACATTAATCGTAAATGTTTTTTCACGTTTCAATGAAATGGAAGAAGCAGCAATATCTCCTTTAACATCGGCACCAGTTGTTGGTAATTAGCCTGATTTCAAAGAGGCCTCCTACTATTTTTCATCACAGCTGGAGATCATTAGCTAAACTGTAGCTCAGGTAAAAATCTGCTCTTCATGATGACTCATTATCATGAATTGTGAAAGGATGGATCGACAAACGGTGCTTTTTTTTTCTGTGCATGAAGCTGCAAATTCGCTGTGTGCATATTAATTATATTTTCTATTTTCTTTCTCTTTTCATTCACAGGTTATGGTGGAGTGGATCATAACAGGGAACTAAATGAAAGATGTTGAGTCATTTTCTGGAGCTATTTAGAAAAACATCTGGAGCTTCAGCTGATATTGTTTCAAGTAATGTTTAAGCTCTGCTTTATGTTTGACTTTTTCAGCCTCTCTGGCTGCTGGGAGCAGACGTTGGAGAGCAGGCCTTTAGCTAGGAATATTTCATAGGGCGTACACCTCCGTGTTTCAAATCTTTAGGCTTTGCACGGCGTAGGGGGGTCCAGGGTATCCTCCCCAGGAAGATGGTGATTTCTACAAGGTCAGACCCTTGTAGAATTCCCCATATTCCTCATTTGTGATGTCATCAGGGTTCCTGGTCCAGATTTCGACTCTGAAATCCTATTTCCTGCATTTTGAGGTTGAATGCAGCTAACCTTATGTCTTTGTTCCAACACTATTGTCCTGATAATGGGAAGTATTTGTGCTTGATTAGAGGTGGAAATTTCATAAGGAAGACATGAGATCATTTTTAGGTACAATTTTATGTTTCATAGGTAATTCAAACAATCAGAAAGTCTAATGCTACGTTCACACCATCAAAAAAGCGTCTGCTGCTTCATTTCTGATTCGGCATTAAGATCAGACGTCCAGTAAGTTGTGTCCAGATGCGTCTGCTGCTCCTGTGATTAAAGGCAGAGAGCGGCGTTGCTACGGTATATTAGCTGTGATCAGCGGATAAAAAGTAGTTTGAATGTATTTTGAAGTGAGAAAGTCCAGGCGCTGCGCTGTCACTGGGAATCCCCAGCAGCAGCTGCCTCAGGCCCGCTCGCCTCTCCAGGGTTTTCCCC